TTACAAGCAGGGCGAGAGAGGGGGTTAGTCCTAGGTCTCTGCGTGGAGCGGCGTGGGTTGCTTGAGATGTTGATCTCTCGCAGTGAGGAGCGTGTGTTACAGAGTGTTGCTTGCGCGTGTGTGAGAGCGTGGTTTCCGTGTGTGTGTGTGTTCGTCGGGTGTCTCCCCTTCCGTTCTAGAAACGGCCCCGGTCGCCCCCTTTTATAGTTGAAGGAGAGGACAGGGGTGGTACATGCGTTTGCTACGTGGTGCGTGGTGTGAGCGGAGGCGGCGTGCCGAGCCCTGTAGCTTGCTACTACGGCGATATGGTGGATGGAGTGGTCTTGTCCTTGGTACTCTGGAGTGACGCGCCGGTCACGCTTGGCCCTATGCGACGTGGGAGCTCCTGAGGTGGCAGGTGCGTTGAAAGCATGCCGGTTGCTGTACGTTGGACCAGCTCAGAGTGCCGAGGGCGGGTTGATGCGATGGCGCGGGTGTGCTGAATCCAAGAATACAGGAGCTCAGCCCTGTACGCAACGTGGGAGCTCCTACAGCCTGACATAGGGTATGGCGCGTTCCGCGGGCGACGTGTCGCTGCTAGAGTGTTGATAGCATAAAGAGTCGAGGCTCAGTCGATGCTGAGGCCGGGCCGTCGTGGGGGGCTTGGCGAGCATGAATCCCGAGGCTGCCGAGACCCTAAAGCGGATTGCTGAGGCTCGGAGGGAGCAGTTGGGTTTTTATGCTGATTCCGAGGCCATAGGGCCCGCCCATGACTCTCCATGCCACACTGTCATCGGAGCAGGTGGGGTTAGGTAGCACAGTGTCGCATGGGTGTCAGTCGTGGGCACAGCGCCGGGTACAGCGGCTGGTAACTCCTGCCCCGTCCTTTCCTGGACTGCATGGCGCCGATATGACTCCCGTCCCGTCGGCCACTCCGCTGTACCGTGCCGGAGTGTGGCTGACGTTGCGGGAGTGGTTGGACGCATTGGTTGATTGTGACGCTCTGTCAGGGTGGTCGGTCAAAGCTGTGGCGGGACTGATGCCGAGCCGGCCTCGAGCGAGATGGAGAATCGGTACCTCACCCGAGGCCTTTCGGGTGGGGCCTCGGGCGAGGGGTCTCGGGTGAGGTGGAGAGTTGGTAGCTCGTCCGAGGCCTTACGGCGTGGGTCTCGGGCGAACCGGCGAATCTGCCGAGGCCTTGCGGCGTGAGCCTCGGGCGAATCGGAGAATCGGCCGAGGCCGCGTGGTTGTCTCTTGGCTTTGGTTTTTACAAGGTCTAAGCAATTTTTTCAGTTCTTGCTTAGGGTACCCCTTTCTATGGTATCCGATAGCCGCGCAGAAGCATTGCCGCGGCGACGATGTTCTGGCTGGCCCGAGCGAACTATGGGGGATCGTTTCCCCCATCCATGATGTTGCGCTGGACCTGGCGAGCGCGACCCCGGGCGCCGCTCGCCGGGTTACGCACACGGGGCGCGGCGTGGTGCGCCGAGCGTGCCGGCGCATGTGGCGGTTGGTTCTGCCGCCGTTGTCATAGCTCCTCGCCGTGCTGCTACCACCGACGGTTGTCCCGGAGCGTCCGCCATAGCGCACTCTCGGGACGGACGGTGGCTAGGTGCCACATCGCCGATGCTGGAGTCGTCGCTCTCAACATCGTCATCCATGAGGTCGAGGAAATAGGTGGGAGCATAGCTCGCCATTCCCATGAATTCAGACGTGAGAGGGGGCGGCGCCAGCGTCCTTCAGAGCCCTCGAGCGCACGCGTCCGCTGGGGACATGAGGCCATAGGGGAACCGGTCGTACGGTGGTTGTGGTGCGGACAATGCGGTCCCTCCGGATAATCGGCGGGAGATAGTAAATAGCGAGTAAATAACAACATGTACATTACTCACAGCGGGGTTTGAGCAGAGCGTTTGCTCGGATTGAAGCACAGGCGCCTCGTCATTGAAGTCGTCGTGTGTCCCGAAGCCGATGGAGGGCACCGCTCCGATGGGCACCGAAACAAGTGCCTCCTCGCGGAGGTGTAGTACGCCGAGCCGGTCAACGACGAAGTCCAGGCTTCCGAAGAGGAAGGCCTGGGACGGCTCGAAGATGGGTGGAACCCATGTCCCAACAGGTGGGAGTACGGGAAACTCCAGTGAGCCGAAGCGAGTTGTATCGCTTGAGCCCGCCATGGCGAAGGTGGCGGAAAAGCGGGCCATCCGATGACCAAAAGTGTGAACGTACAGCGTCTTCCCCACGGACGGCGCCAACTGTCGGTGCAGAAAGAGACTAACACGTAAATATTTGTAGTTTTACTGTACGTTGTGATCGGAGGTGGCCTAACACTCAATGACACAGGGTTTATACTGGTTCAGGCAACGTGCCATACGTCCAGTTTGAGTCGGTCGGTGACTTTATTCCTGAGCCCAGGTGCTCAAAGTTTGCTGTGGGGTTACAAACGAAAGGGAGAAAGATGAGGTTACAAGAGGTCCGGTCGGACTCTGGTCTGAAGGGCCGAGAGTGACGGGAGCTCCGCTATTGTGCTGAGTGTTCGAGCGTGTGCTCGAGGTTTGAACCTAGTGGTTCTGTTGTGGCGTGCGTTGTTCGAGTTGTTGTGTACTGATCCTTTTCTTTGGGAGAGAACGCACACCCTTTTATAGATGAAGGGAATGGCCTTACCAGAGAGAGAGTGTGTGTACGTATGCTAAGTCTTGTTGCCCACATCGTCGGGTACAAGATGATGGTAGGTGCCCACAATACTGTTAATGTCAGATGCACGTGGGAGGTTGCGTCGTCTTTTTCTGGTATGGTAGACGTCGGTGCCTGCCATACTGTTGATGCCCGGAGGCATATAGTGGGTTTTACCATGTTTGCCTGGCATGGTAAATGCCGGCGCCCGCAATACTGTTGATGCCCAAAGGCATGTGGGGGGAGCCTTACCGTGTTTGTCTGGTATGGGAATTGATGGCGCTCACAACACTATAGGAAAGATGTCGGCGCCCACAACACTACTTAGGTCCTGACATGTCAGGAAGGTTGCAGGGTACCCTTTTGAAATGTTTTGTTGGTACTGTCCTGCAGGTGTACAGGGTACGATCCTTGGTATCACGGTTGACTTGAGTGCCCTGCCTTACTTTCTCCGTTCGTTTCCTAGTCCTCACCGAGCAGGCGTCTCCGGTCGGTTGGTCCTAGTCGGCTCTGATTGCCCCAGTCGGAGAAGAGCTGTAAGCAGTGGTTCGGCGCATCTCCGGTTGGAGACGCGGGTCGAAGTCGGAAGTAATGTTTGGCCAGGCCTTCCGGTCGGAGAGGCCGTCCAGAGGCGGGCTGGAGTCGGAAGCGAGCGTTGTTTCCTCATCAGTGAGGCTTTCCGGTCGGAGATTGGATTACCCTTCTGGCCCGTCGTTTAGGTTTTTGGACCGGCCCATGAGTTGCGCGTCGTTCGCAACGTTGTCTGCTGGGCCGAGCCTTTGTTGGGAAGCCGGTCCATGAGGGACCCCGGGTTTATGAACCCAACAATTAGCTAGCTGATAAGCCCTGACTGAAACCAACAAGCGAACATGCTAATGGTAGTAATTATTTGAAACAAACTAGATGGCTTGTTGCAACATCGGAAAGCACATCTCCATCAAAACAAATTAGTAACATTCGGAGAAAAATAATTTTAACAAAATCAAAATGTTGTTGAGACGTCTAGTTATAACTATTGTAACATCAAAAAGGTACCGGGAGAACGTACCAAAATCTGCTTATTATGCAATACAACATCTCAGCAACATCGATAAAAATTACGCTCCAGCAGCATCGTCAAACGTCTCGCTATCCTTGTAGGCCTATACCGCCTGCCATACTATCCTCTCCACTGGGTCTACTCTCCACTCACAAATGTGTCGTGCAGTAACCCCTGGCCATCCTCCTCTACCTGAGGCCGACAACACGGTTAGTGTTGCTTTACCTTATCTTGTGTCAAAAATTCATTTCTTTTCATATTCTTTCGTAAATTCAAAAGGTGATTACGATAAGCTCCTAAAATGGTGCCTATTTTATTGTTGGTAGAGTAAATAACAGATAAACCATTTTAACTAGATTTAACTTAAAATCTCTTACGAATTTTAAATTAAAAATTCTCAAAGTTGTCTTTCTTTTAAAATCATTTGAACTCTAAGGTATAAGGTATTGATTTAATTATAAAAAATCGATGATAAATATAAATGTATGAATATCAATAAAATAGAATATGGAGAATGGAATTTGGCTAGTCTGTTAGAGAGTGCTGGGATACAAAGAAGGAATTTTATGGAGTGGATAGCTATAAAAGCTAAATGGAGACATGAAGAGTGGAATTTTGGACAGTATCCTGTAGATGGCATCTTTGAAGGCCCATACAAATTTGGCCCGCCCTGGTATATGTGCTAGGTTTTGTCTTCGCCTCGATTTTGAGAGCCACACGCATAGAGAGATTCCGTATGATCGGGAGCGCAGAGATTCCGTCGTAAAAAAAAATCACTATGGCGTTGGTATTCCTCTTTTTTTTTTTGCGAGGAATACGGCGTTGGTATTCGTTCTCTCGCCGCCAGTGGAAGCAGGGGATATATTCGTGTCCTCCGAATCAGTCCTAACTCCTGCAGTCTCCTCGCCGACAGGGGAAGCCGTGTTGCAAGAAGGGGAATTCCATTGCGAGATCCGTGAACGGTTAGTTTGCAATCACTCTTGACTGTATGTATGATTTCAGATCATGACGCGAGCTTAGCGCGTGCATATCTTGTGGGCTTAGTGGAGTTCAGAATCCGGGCACGCTGGTTCTGTGTGTAGTCGGTGGAGGTCTGATCCACGGATCTGGTGGTTACATTCAATGAGGAGATCAGAAGTTGTATGTTTACTGTGAATCTGGTGCGTTTTGGGGCAGACCATCTGGGTGATTGAGATTTAGACGTCCATCATGTATTCATGTGTGGGATGTTGGCATGTTGCCAGTTCCTTCCTCTCAGTGAGCATGTTCTCTTTGCTGTGATGATGGGTTGATATACTTTCTTGCAGGTTCAGAGATGGCAGAGACGGTGTTCACCCCCTCTTTGGAAGGGATGAAGCATGTCAAGGCAGAGAACGGAGTCATTCTCACCAAGCCCTTCCTTGATGTCTGCAAGCAAATCTTGCCTGTCCTCGGTAACTCATTTGCTTCGCTGGTAGCAGTAGCTGCATTACTTATCAGATTTGGTACCATGCTTAGTTCAGAAGTTCAGTGGTGGTGCGGGAGCAATGGACGGGCTTGAGTTATTCTCACAAGACACATGATAGATTGATTGTCTAAACAAGTTTTCTTATAGCTAAGACAAATTATCATTGATGGTTATGCCACATTGGAGACGCACAAGTTTTTTTACACTCTGTGAAATCACTATGATTTGTGCACACATCTGTGCGATATTTGTGTTGATCCTTAAATCAAGCTTCGTGTTCTTTTAAACCGCGGAAGAACAAATCATTGAGTCTTAAAACTGTGGTTCTGTGTTCCTTTATGTTGAGCTACACTTGTGTTGCTTAAACAATAAACAATTTTTCAATAATTGTCCCTTTAGCCCCTGCTTTTATGAACCAGATAAATTTGGAGCTGCTATGGCAATTGTGAAGAGTGATATCGGTGGCAATATCACAGTAAGCAAATCTTTCTGCATAATTTCTATTATACTAGTATCATTTATCTTCCATTCTTTTATGCTGGTAAATAGATGGCGGTGGTGTTAATGTTGTCTTTCAGTTATCTATATATTGTGATAATTCATATCAATAGCTACTTTAGACTGATCTGCCTCTTGCTTAGTTCGTTTGTCACTTCTGGAGCCCTCGGAGTTCCAAGTTATTTTTCTTTTAATTTCACTTGACTTGATCCTCTTCTGTCAGAGACTGGAAAACAAGTATTCTTCAGAACCAGCAAAGTATGAACACTTGTACAGCATGGTTCAGGAAGAGGTTCAAAACAAGACCGCAAAAGGTTCCTCAAGCTGCACAAATGGGCTTCTGTGGCTCACGAGGTACTTAGTTTCTTTTTGTTGTCACTTCTCATTGCAACTTGATCAGCATGCCAAGTATGTGACTTTTGTTTACTCAAAATTTTGCATGTCAGGGCCATGGATTTCCTTGTTGAGTTGTTTCGTAACCTGCTTGAGCATCCAGACTGGACCATGAGTCAAGCTTGCACCGATTCATACACCAAGACTCTGAAGAAATTTCATGGCTGGCTTGCCAGTTCTAGTTTTACGGTAGAATCTTTCACTCTATAATGATCCATACAAGTGGTGGAATTCTATCCACATAAAGGCCTTGTTTGGCTGCACTCGTGTTCACCTCAATCCACATGTATCGAGGTGGATTGGAGTCGAAAAATAAGTATTTTTCACACTATCCACTCTAACACACGTGCATTGAGGTGGATACGAGAACAGCCAAGCAAGCCTTACGGCTATCTGTTTTCAAAAATATAATCAACATATGAATTCTGGAAATGTGGGGTCTAGTTTTCACATGGATCACCAACCTGAATAGCAAGGCATCAGCGCATGGTAGATTGAAGAACAGCCTTGACTTGTTTTTTAATCTGAAGAGTTCTTTTCAAGAATATTTTCTTGTCATATCTAATTTTGTGTCACCAATCCAAATTCTTCAATCCAGTCTTCTCTCTCTCTCTCTCTCTCTCTCTCTCTCCGATGCAGGCGAGCAGCATCCTTTTTTATTTAGACTGATAAAAGCCAAAAGTCTTGTGAAGAAAAAAAATCAAATAAGACTAGAAGAGGAACTAAAAAGTTAAAACAGGTGTTTTGACAATTTCCAGCTACAGACGACAAACAACAGATAGTCATTTACTTAATTTGAGCTTTGCCAATGCAAATGTCTAATGAAATCCTGATCTTTTCATAGTTGTTGCTTCATTCCTGTATGGAAATAGGTTATCGTGCTCATCTTTTAAGATAGTTTGCATACTTTTAGTCAGTATATCTCTTTGATTTGTGCTTTCATTTTGTTGATTTACTTATATGAGTTGATCACAGGTGGCCATGAAACTTGCTCCTAATAGAGATAAATTTATGGAGGTCATTAGTGGAACTGGTGACATCAATGCAGATATTGAGAAATTTTGCACAACCTTCTCTCCTTTCCTCAAAGAAAATCACAACTTTCTGGTATGGTCTCTCCCAATTTAAGATTCAGTTGTTTTGCTACTTTGGTCTCTTGTGAAATAGCTTCGGTGCTGCTATTCTTTGCAGGCAAGCGTCGGTCTTGATGATATGAAGGCTTCATAGAGCAATCACCATGCTGATTACAACAAAATAAGCATGGCTCATGAAACTCAAGTGCTGCTGAGGATATACATGTTTTCCGTAGCCATCTTCCACTTAAAAAAACTATACGAGATGGTAATAATTTGTCAACATGGTTGACCATGGCTACTTGCACAAAGAATTGATAGTACTCAACAAATTTAGTTTCCGAACTCAGTCCCTTGTTACAGAAAATCGACATATGATGATGTGAAACTCTTGCGCTGTAATTCAGCTGTATGCTACCCAGTATGCAGACGGAACTTATCACAGTTTGGTCTTCTGTTGCCGCAGGATCATCGTGTCACTTGTAGGCTACCCAGTTATTTATAGACTTTTTTTTGTGAATTGCTTGCCTTTCATTAGAATCACCTGGCCGAGGCCTCAAACATGACCAAGTCCGCCACACGTGTTGGAGTTACATGCCACGTCTCCAAACGATGTTTTTTTTCCCGATCAGGTAAGACATCCTGCATTAAACTTCATTCCTAGGCAAATCGCCCAATACAAGATTCATTACATGCAAAGGCACTTGGCTCAGTAACACATTTGAGCCACACTCCACCGCATAAGCTCCATGGTCAGCTAAAGAGTCTGCCACCTTATTACATGATCTATTACAATATGAGACATTACAAAAAGAAAACTCTGATTGCATAATGTCTCGTATCTGAACCACTAAAGCACCAATTATGCTTCGGTCTAAACTTGGCGACTTGAGGGCATTAGCAAGCACTATGGAATCCGTCTCCAAGATAATTCTTGTCATTCCTAGTTGAGTTGCATGGAGGACAGCCTTGTAGGCTGCAATTGCTTCAGTATGCAAGGCCGATGAAGCATAAGAAATGTTTCCAGCCCCAGCCACGAGCACCTCTCCATTCTTGTTCCTCACCACAAATCCATATCCTCCAATTCTCTTATTTGGATCAAAAGAGCCATCAGAATTGATCTTATAGATATCTTCTTGTGGAGGATTCCATGAACATCCAGCAGCAGCAAGCGTCACTTTCTTTTCAATTTTGTGCAACTTCGAAGGGCAGGCCTAGTGCAGTGGTGAGAGCTGTCTCACTGAGTCACCAGGTCACGGATTCGAAGATTTTGTGGGGGGAAGGCTTGCCTCGGTTTTTCCCTTCCCCAGACCTCACTCATGTGGGAGCCTCCGGCACTGGGTCTGCCCTTTTTTTTCAAACTCCATCAGGAGGAATGATACAGAACTACAAATCTCAGTTGGATTCGCCATTTTCCCACCATCATTAGCCTTGTTTCTTGCCTACCACCATCTCCAAAGAAAGACAAAAACTTTTATTTGAATGTTCATCTCTAGCTCCCAAATCTTATTAATTACTTCATTTCCTGATCGGCAGTTCACCAGCTCAGATCTTATATCATCCATATTCAAAAGGCGCCAACATATCTTTACATACTTACATTTGAAGAAGATGTGCCCACAGTCTTCATCTAGCCTTCTGCAAACTGGACAAATGGCATCTAATTTTATCCCACGCCTGGCCAAATTTCTTCTAACAGGAAGGCTGTTATGTGCCAAACGCCATATGAACATTTTTACTTTGTTGGGAGCTTTAATTTGCCAAATCTTAATCCATTGGAATTCACTCCCGCATCCACCTGCACATCCAGAACTAGAAGCATCCCTTCCTGTACGAGCATCTCTTTTTTCCACAGCAAGCTTATAAGCCGATTTGACTGAAAATACTCCCTTCGCATCAAAATGCCAAGCAGGCCAGTCCTCCATATTCACATTAATTGGAATCCGTAAGATCTCAGCAGCATCCTCGGGCCAAAAAATATCACAGATTAATTTCTCATCCCATTCACTTGTTGTTGGATCTATAAGCTCACTAACTCTTGTCAGCAAACATGACCTCCTAGGTGTAACCGGTTTTCTTGTTGTACCTCTAGGCAGCCATGGGTCTTCCCATATTTTCACATTTTCCCCATTGCCAATTCTCCATATGAGCCCGTCCTTTAAAAGTTCAGCCCCTCTTAAAATGCTTCTCCAAGTATAGGATATACGAGTCCGAGGAACGCAATGGAGAATATCTGACCTTGAAAAATATCTTGCCTTCAATACCTGTGCACAGAGTGTATCAGGGATAGTAATTAATCTCCACGCCTGCCTACTCAACATTGCCAAATTAAATAGATGCAAATCCCGAAATCCTAAACCACCCCTTTTTTTTGACCTGGTTAGTTGTTCCCAACTGAGCCAATGAATTTTATTTGTTTTGTCTTGTTGGCTCCACCAATATCTAGCATTAATCATACTTAGTTCATCACAGAGGCCCTTTGTAAGATCGAAACATGACATAGCATAAGTAGGAATAGATTGTGCTACGGCCTTAATAAGAATTTCCTTGCCAGCTTTAGAAAGAAGTTTTTCCTGCCAACCCTGAATCCTACTCCAGACCATCTTTTTTATGTACTCAAACATCAACTTTTTCGATTTCCCAACGGAGACAGGCAGACCTAAATAACGTTCACACCTTGTTTCGCACTCAATGGATAGGTTCGATCTAACCTGTCTCCTAATTCGTTCATTTGTGTTTGGGCTGAACAAAATTGATGATTTATCTCTGTTAATTACCTGCCCCGATGCATCTTCATACACTTGCAGAATATGTTTAAGTTCCTGTGCATCACCTGCCCTTGCTCTCATCAGAATCAAGGAATCATCAGCAAAAAACAGGTGGTTTATCCTTGGTGCACCTCGGCAAATCTTAATACCTTCAATCTTGCCCTCTTGTTCAGCTTTTTGCAGCATAGCTGATAAACCTTCTGCACATAAAATAAATAAATAAGGTGAAAGAGGGTCACCTTGTCGTAGGCCCCTTTGAGGGATAATTTGATGAGTATACCCTCCATTAACTTTGATTTTATAAGTAACCGAGGTAACACAGTTCACGATAAGACACACCCATCTTACATTAAAGCCCATCCGAATCAACATATTTTGCAAGAAAACCCATTCCACCCTGTCATATGCTTCGCTCATGTCTAATTTGATTGCAGCCATCCCCCATTTACCTTTTATTTTAGAATTTAAATAATGTATTAATTCATACGATAAAAGAACATTATCCGTGATTAATCTTCCCGGTACAAAGGCACTCTGAGAAGGAGAAATGATATCTGGCAAGATTTTCTTTAATCTATTTGCAAGAACCTTTGAAATGATCTTATAAAGCACATTACATAGACTAATTGGCCGAAAATCTTTTAACACTTGGGGCGAGCTAATTTTTGGTATCAACACAATAATAGTTTCATTCCATCCTACTGGCATTGGCCCTCCATTAAGGACTTCAAGGACTTCTTTTTTAATTTGATCACCAATAAAATACCAGAACCTTTTGTAAAAAATAGAGGGCATACCATCAGCACCAGGAGCCTTCAAGTCACCTATGCTTTCCAAAGCTTTCCAAATTTCCTCCCCTGTAAATGGCTCCATTAATGCCTCATTCATTTCTACTGTGAATCTGGGTTCAACACAATTCAGTACATAATCAGAATGTGATCCTGCACATGACATAAATAAATGTTGATATTGGTTAGCAATAAAGTGTTTCAGTTGTTCTCCCACCACCGTAGCTCCATTCTCATCTTTCAGACTCCTAATCCAATTTTTCCTTCTCCGTTTTGAAGCAAACGCATGAAAAAAAACAGTATTCCGGTCTCCCTTTGTCAACCATGTGTTATGAGCTCGTTGTTTCCATTAAGTATTATGTTGGTCCTGCAGTCGTTCGAGCTTATAACGCAATAAATGTTCCCGGTTTACTGATTCTTGAGATATGGCCATCCTCCTACACCTTTCCAATACACTTTTTAGTCTTTTGATTCGTTTCTCCAACTCCCCCAAAATGTTCCTGTCCCAATCCCAAAGATCTCCCAACACCTTCCTCTGCCTTTCCATCATACTGTTACATCCTTCCTCCATCGCTCTATCCCAAGCTTCTATCACTCTGATCTCGCATTCCTCTTCCTCAAGCCATTTCGCTTCAAACTTTGGCATTACTTGGAACTGTTGCAAGCAGTCCGTAATCTCTCTACAGCCCACATCAATTATAATCGGCCTATGGTCAGAATGCCTAGGATCCCCATTAGTAACCCTCACCATAGGGAATGTAAATCTCCAACTGCTATTAACCACAGCACGATCAAGCCTCTCCTTTGTAAAGCTGGCAGCCACATGATGGTTATTGCGCCAAGTGAATGGATCCCCAAAAAACCCCAGATCCTGCAAATCACAGTCTTCCAAAGCTAATCTGAACTTATGCATATTAGATTCTGCCCTCAGATGTCCTCCCTCTTTTTCAAAATTAAATTAAATTTCATTGAAATCTCCGCTACAGAGCCATGGCATCTCAAATTGTTCCTTCAAGAGACGTAAGGTCTCCCAAGTATTATCCTTTTCTTCATTTTTTGACTCGCCATAAATGCCAGTAAATCTCCATTCAAGCCCATCATCTTCTTCTATCACACTGTCAATGTGATATTTCGAGAAACTTTTCACCTCCAACTCAATCCCTCTCCTCCAAAAAAGAGCTAAACCCTCGCTAGTTCCCACACTACCAACTGTCACTAAATTAGGCATTTCTAGCTTCCACCTTAACCAATCTAACCATTTCCCCTCATGTTTAGTTTCTGATAGGAAAAGAATATCAGGGGCCTCCTGCTTCTGGATATCCAGAAGCCCTCGAATTGCCAGGCCATTCCCCAATCCCTGGCAATTCCACATGATTAGCTTCATTTTTGCACGCGAGGCTGCTGCAGCAGCCCCGCGTTTTCGTTTTTAAACTTCTTAGAGCTCACAGAAGCATCACTCCCACTTCTAACTTGAGAAGGAAAATTCCCTTTTATTGTCGGAACTAGGGCCATCGACTTTCCATCAAACACTTCCGTATGATCTCCTTGCACTTTTGCTACATTCTCCATGAGGTTTTCATCAGATTTACGCTTTTTTGTGTGCGCAGGAATCTGATTATCATCTACCGAATAATCATACATAAAAATATCATTTCTAGTCGTGTTAACATCGTTAAGCACCTGGTTCCTTATTGGTGAGGATGCCTCGAAACCACTCCCATCTCCAACTTCTTTTCTGAAATCTTTATCTTTATCATCACTTTTTTTTGTAGAAGATTTTCTGGAATCTGAACTTCCCCAAGCTTCAGAAGAGTTACTTTTCCTACAGGGGTTACTACTCTGGGCAAACCATTCACTTTGATTCTTCAATCTTCTTTCCTCAGGAGCACACAATTTTTCACTGTAAGGCAAACAACTTTTTTCATCTCTAGAAGCTGGCATAGGGCAATCAATTTCTAAGTGTCCAATAATACCACATGAGAAACAAAAGAAAGGAAGCCTCTCATATACCACATCATACCATTCCTTCCTTTGTCTTCTAGACGAAAAAACAGAGACACCTCGCGGTAGAGGTTCTTTTAGCGATATAATTACCCGGGCTCTCAAATCCTTTCCCACAGCTCTTTTCTGTTCATCCACATCAACTTTCAGCACTTTTTTTTTCCAATCTTACCAGCCAGCTCAAAACCCCATTTTTCATGTCGTAGCCCCAAAGGAAGATTCAAAATATTCACCCAAATGGCCAATTCATCAAACGATACATCAGTTGGGCTTATATCATAATTAAAATCTTGTAGGATCACAACTTGTCGCCCCACAGATTGCCTACCTATATACCACGGAGAGCCATCAAGAATCCTATTTTTGTCTGCTTCAGACTCAAACTCAGCAATAAACAGATTATCTCCAACCATTCTCGCCATCAATCCCCTTGGGTTGCCCCATGCTGGTCGCATAGCAGCCATAATGGTTTGCAGCTGTAAAGAGTTGGGCGCAAGAATCTTCCCAATCACTGCATACTTTGCTACAGCTAATTCTGGATCATCGGCATCTTCCAAGACTAGTACTTCCTTCTCTTTTGCAGTCAAATTAAGCTTACCAAATAGATCTGAAACTTGCTCCTCAATTCCATGGCCTTGCCCCTTCATTCCCTTCACACTCGCACTATCAGTTCCAAGAGGAATAAGAGATCCCTCTCCCACCTCCTGGACTAAATCCTCCTTCTCCTTTCCCTGATTCAGTTCCATTAGCCGCACCCCAACCAAGACACAGAGATCTGACCAAGGACGGGCAGTGATGCTAAAGATCACCCCTTGTTCATCGCGAGTCAGTTCCTGGCTTGCTTGACAAAGCTAATAGGGGAAAGGGAAAATCATAAATGGACTAAGCTGAAAGAATGCAGCAGCGCTGTCTACTTGATGCCTGCACAGCTCCCTCCGATCTGCAGTCTTGAGAAAACTTACAAGGCAAGCAGCGCACTCCCCTTGGGTGCCTGCACAGCTCCCTCCAATCTCCAGGCTTCAATTTTGCGATTAGAAGAGGTGGAGATGAGGAAATCGCCTCTCTCTACTGTTCACTAGAGAACACTCAGAAGGCCCTTCTACTAGTCTCCAAGCGATGTGTTTTGGTCACTTGTCTAGCTAAAACATGAGCTATCTTATTACAATATCTACTAACACAAACGAAAGAGAAATCTTGAAAGGCAAGACGCAATTCCTGAATTTCCTTCAAAACCGGATCAACGATGGAGCATTGTACTTCAGTCTTCCACAGGTTTACTAGCTCCAAACAGTCCGTCTCCAGCACCACGCGCTGTTCCCCATGTTGCTTGGCAAGCTTCAGCCCATCACGGCACGCCAGAGCCTCCATCATACAAGCATCGAGGCCTCGATCATACCAGCGCGCTTGTGCTACCTTGAACGCTCCATGGTGACCCACATTGCCAGCTGCCTGAAACGCTGCATCAGAGTTGATTTTCACCCACCCAGGATCTGGCTGAGCTGCCAAAGATCGTGCGCTGTCTCTAGCCCACAAGACAGCTTGGTGGATTCCCATCGGCTGCTCACCATGGCGTCTTTTGTTTCGCATCATCCATAGTGCCCACATACCGCAGAGGATAGTCGCCGTATCTCGCTGAGAGCAGACGCCCGAGATGAGATCAGTGGCCCATGTTGCCGGGTTCAGACTTGTAGCGCAACCGGCTGCCCACTTTCAACACAAGTTGAACGAGAGTGCCCAGAAATCAAAGACAGACAAGGATATTTGTACCACTAAGACTATCTTCGACAAACGGCACCTAAAATACAAGACTCATTCCATGTTTGGTAGCACTAGAGGCAAATGGTTCAGTACTGGTCTTCTCCAACAACAAGACTCAAAAGAGAATCATTTCCGCATATGGGTTTCCAGGAGTGAAGATACTCAGATTTAGGTTATGCCTCTCCTGACACCTAAAATAGGTCTCTGTATAGGTACAGACTGATATAGTGCTGTCGGAGACCCATTTTGGATTTAGATGCCCTTATGGGTCATCTGTTTGAGACAGTCTAAGAGAGGAACTTAAGAGAAAAATCGAGTCAACAATGACAATTTAGATAACAAATAATCATTTATGTAGTGAAAAACAAACAGTGAGTGCCTATTTGGATTAATTGGTGCCAATATATATTTAGCGACTAAATTTAGCATGGGGAGCTGCTGACTATTAGCTAGAGTCGTGATTACAATTTTTTTACTAATTGATTCCAACCACCTAGTGATATGTTCATCCAAATAGCCGCTTCTAATAACTAGCTAACTAATAGCCAGTAACAATTTACTGTTAGTAGCTGATGAGGACATCATTGGCTCAAATATGACCATGCCAACCACTTCTATACTAAAGGTGCAACCATTCTATATGAGGCTTATCATTGATGCATTTGATGAATTGGTGCTCCACCATAAAATGTGTATATTTTCATTTTCAGAATTACTTACATGGATTAAGGGAAGGTTTGATTGCATATGGAAAGCATGGAAGGTTAATGAAGTTGATTGGGGACCAAATCCAAGTATTCCCAACGTCCTCCACCTGGACACCACGTCACTTTTGGTCCAAGGAAAGAAAGAGATCAAATCCAACACGTTTTGGGGCTGGATTCGGACTCCAGGACAGCTCCAACTTGTGATGTTCACCACGGTCGCATATGGACTCGGATTGAGGCGTTCAAGTACTTCATGGAATCCTTATGAAGTCTATTTTCACATGGATCTGGAATCAAGTCCATATCTGTTCTGAGGCGGCCGCAATGACCGAATTACTACCGAGAGGTTTTCTGTTCAAAGGTGCTGCGTCGTCTTAGTTTGGTCCAATGGGCCGTGTATCAAGTTGGGTCCATTAGGGATGCGTCTTAGGGTGGGAGCACGACCCCAACACCCTGGTGGTCGTCCTTCCACCTTCATATACCCCTTAGCCGCCACCAAGAACAATTGGGTTTTGTTTTGTTGAAAGTTTAGCCATTGCTACTTCCTTGTAGACGCGTGTGTCGACTAGACCATCCGTTCTACTTGATTCAGAACCCCAACTTTGTGAGTTCAGATTGGTTTTTCATCTCCATATTTGCAATTGAGTTGCTTGTTCTACTTGTTCTTGCTTGTTCCTCGATTGCTTGCAGGAATTACCTTAGTGGTTTGGTTGATCGTGCTTCACAAGATCGCGACGGCCGTTGGAGGTGGTGTATCGGTTGCTAAGGCGCAGCTTGGAAGGCTGTAGTCGAGCCGTGAATGTCATCTCCATCCCCAAATCGAGTTATCCACCTTCTCTCATCGAAAGATTGGGATTCACCCTAGCGGGTTCATATCAGTAGCACTAATGGATCCTGGAACAACCACGGAGGGGTATGTACATAATTTCTGAACAAAATCACATAATATGAGCACTAGTCACTTAGCTAGCTACAATTAGCACTAGGATTCAACAGGCCAACACCCCTTGAAGGTTATACATGAATTTATGAATAAAGATCACAATTCGCCACAATAGCACTGGTCACTGGAGTATTTATAACTACATTGCCCACAATAAGATTGGGCTGGCTGGACTGGCCAGCCCGCCCCCTCACATGGCTACTGTTCACGCGAACCAGCCAGCAATACTTCTCTCTCACATAAACGAACCAGCAACGATATGAAACAGCCAACCAAACAGGCTGTGGACCGTTGCACTGTAGGTGCAAGTTATTGGATCCAACTATTCAGCTACACCCGTTAAGTCACCAACATAGTATCGTCTGCGATTGTACACAGTGTCACAGGGAACTTTGTGACTATTGGTCGTACATCTGATGTCAAGTAAAACTGCTAAAGCTTCAGACAACTTTCCCAAATGTGATACTGACAGACAATGAACAAGCAGAAATTTTCAGTTTCACTTGTGAAGAACACTTCTTTTCCGCAGTTTGATTTTCTTCTGTGGTTGAGTCTGCAGAAAATTAGCAAAATGCACATGAGCAAGCTGAGCACTCATATATATAAAATAAAAGGAACACATGATGACTATGAGAACTAACCTTTCCCTTCTCCAAAGCTTCGAAGTCTATCCTGTTCTTCCATGTGCTCTTCCGTAATTTGATTGGCCGGTTTCCGACATATTTACCTGCATGATTCTTAGTTCTGTAAGTTGCAGTACCTCTGGTAGCCAAAGGATGCATCAAAGGAGCGAGTATTCATACCATTCATCTCCTTCAAGGCAGAAGTAAGATCAGATGCATTAGCAAAACTAACAAAACCATATCCTTTAGTTTTACCAGTCCACTTGTCCCGTATAACCTGATACAGAAGAGATCAACATTCGCTTAATAAAAAATAGAAGATTAAAACTGTTAGGAAGAGCAGAAAATAAGAACAATGTAACTGTATGGAAAAGGTCAAACTCACCCTGGCCATATTGAAGGATGGATATTTTGAGAATGCCTTAGCAAGAACATCATCATTCACTTCATTTCCAAGATCACCACAGAACAAACGAAAGTCATCTGTAGATGAGAGATCAAGCAATTGTCAATGAGGATACTTGAAGTATCCCTAAAGAAACTAACTGAATGTCATCAGGAAGATTACAAGGTAGAATCACATTATCAATGCACAAATGACTTAAGTAGTGCAACTCAAAACTTGAAGTTGTGGCCACTGGGCAGGTGAGTGCTAGCAAAACAATTATAGAATATTTAACTATTAAATACTTAAAGAGCTGCATTGACCGAAATGGTGCACATTTAACAGTACTGATTTTTTTTCATGAAAAAGACATCTATGACACATCTTAGAAATTGTGGACATTACATAAATATTGTAGGTGGATGGACATCATTCAAACTTAAATCAACCATATGAAGAGGGAAGGAGCAACGAAGAAAGCAGCCAAGACAAAGTTCCTACAGCCAACAGACCAACAATCGACAGAACAAGCATGCCACCAGTCTTACATGACTCTTCACTGGCCAATATGGCGAACTAAGTAATGGAGGGAACATAACAGTAGGGGTGTGTGCTTGTTAATGCACGAAGACACTGAAACCCTACACATATGTTCACATCAAACATCACTAGAAGAATATGGTATTTCATATAACAGCATAAGCATGTCTAAGATTAATAAAGGCACATGAAACAATATTGAATTACATGTGACAAATCAGGTAAGCATAGGAATTAGGTAATTTGAAAATGTTTAGTAATCATTGCAAGCCCACCTAAATCCCGTGTGGCAATCTGTTGGGCTACACATCACATCCTTGAGCACCTTTAGAGAAAGGAAAAAAGAGCAATTTGTTTCAGATCAAAGCATAATAGATAGAGCACTTTAGTTCTTGCCTGTGAGACTGACATTTTCTCATGGTTGTTGTCTGCAAGATAACAGACAATAAGAGCTAAAAAACCGCCACATTGCCAGGTTAAGGATCCCATAACCACAGAATTGGAGCATTTGAGAAACATTGTGAAAAAAAGACAATAGAGAATTAGATATCTTACTTTCAGGCCAATCAGCCAAGGTAGGGTCCTCCCAACTTTGCCCAGCTGCCTTTCGAGGCACTGCCTTTTTGGTTGCTTCAACCTTCTTCTCTTTCTCACTATTTGCAATAGCAGCTTTAACAGTAGCTAGAGCTTCAGGAGTAATTATCTTCGAGTCCTTTTGGAACAACTGTTGGGCCTGGAAGACATAAAAATAGACAAGTCACTAAATATTTTCAGCATAAACCATATTTAAAAAATACTTACGGCATAAACACAGATGAAGGAATAAAAAAGGATAGATGTAGATGTAAGACCTTATGAAGCAATGGTATAACGCACTTCTACTGAACCAAAGCTTGCACTTTTAACTTGTCAAGTGTCAACAGGGAAAAGATATCACATGACAATAGCTATTTCTCTTGGAGTGAAGACAGTATGTGAAACCCATACTGCCGCCCTCATTTCATTCGGATGTGATCTCAATGGTTCTTGAAAAAGAATCAGCACTAATCGACACAGATTGCTTGTTGCATACCTAAGTTATCTTGCACAGATACTTTTGTAGGCCTAAGAGCTACATAACACAGGGAATGCACCATTAAGAATTGCATCACGGATCAATCAGTTTCCATCGAACATTTTGCAGCTAGATCTTGCAAGGCAATAAATAGTTTCGTCTGAAAGTTACAATGGACTAGAGGGATGTCTGAACTAGGATAGATCTTTGTCAGAATCATTAGCTATCAAAGGTAGGATAATAATAATATACCTAAAGTCCTACATATATAGTGGCATAACCATCACTAATCAAATGATTTTTTATTATGTCCTAGGTGTCTAACCAAGCAGACAAGATAGAAGATAGGAGTATTAATAGAATGGCCACATCAAGAAAACACAAAAGGGCAGAGAGTGCTTTCTTCTTCCCAACCCGCGGAGACAGAACGCGTCTAGCTAGATTGTCCCCATCGGCCATCGCTAAATCCACAATCACCTTTACTTCCGTATACCCAAATAAATTACCAAAAACATAGCCCTTGAAACTCTGATCGTAAGGTGCA